CCCCGGAACTCCCAGTTCCGTCTTGTCCTTTTTCGCCTTTTGGCCCACGAGGTCCTTCCAACCCAGGACTCCCAGTCGGACCTTTAGGTCCGGGAGGACCTGGAGCCGGCTTGTTGGTACCAGGCTTTCCTGTATCACCTAGGATACCAAGGAAAGACGGATTTAATTTAGTAGGTAAGGTGACCTCATAGGGAAAAATTTAAAATTGTCCAAATCTACAAGCAAATTAAAGGTACAGTGTGTATACGAGCCAAGATTTGTGGCCCAATAGACCAGTGCTTTTTTTTTGTAGTTTTCTCTGGTTTCTGTAGTGTCTGTAGTGTCTGTAGTGTCTGTAGTGTCTGTAGTGTCTGTAGTTTCTGTAGTGTCTGCAGTTTCTGTAGTGTCTGTAGTTTCTGTAGTGTCTGCAGTTTCTGTAGTGTCTGTAGTTTCTGTAACTTCTGTAGTTTCTGTAGTTTCTTTAGTTTCTTTAGTTTCTTTAGTTTCTGTAGTGTCTGTAGCGTCTTTAGTGTCTGTAGTGTCTGTAGCGTCTTTAGTGTCTGAAGTAACTGCAGTGTCATTAGTGTCTTAAGTTTCTATAGTGTCTGTACTTTTTGTAGTGTCTGCAGTGTCTGTGGCGTGTGTACTGTCTGTATTTTTTAGTGTCAGTAGTGTCTGTAGTGTCTGTAGTATCTGTACTTTCTGTACTTTCTGTAGCGTCAGTAGAGTCGGTAGTGTCTGTAGTTTCCATACTTTCTATAGTGTCAGTAGTTACAGTAGTTTCTGTAAGTTCTGTAGTGTCTGTAGCTTCTGTAGTGTCTGTAGTTTCTGTAGTGTCTGTAGTTTTTCTAGTGTCTGCAGTTTCTGTGGTGTCTGTAGTTTCTGTAGTTTCTGTAGTTTCTCTAGTGTCTGTAGTTTCTGTAGCTTCTGTAGTGTCTGTAGTTTCTGTAGTGTCTGTAGTTTTTCTAGTGTCTGCAGTTTCTGTGGTGTCTGTAGTTTCTGTAGTGTCTGTAGTGTCTGTAGTGTCTGTAGTTTCTGTAGTTTCTCTAGTGTCTGTAGTTTCTGTAGCTTCTGTAGATTCTGTAGTGTCTGTAGTTTCAGTAGTTTCTCTAGTTTCTGTAGTGTCTGTATTGTCTGTAATGTCTGTAAAGTCTGCAGTGTCTGAAGTATCTGCAGTGTTAGTAGTGTCTTAAGTTTCTATAGTGTCTGTACTTTCTGTAGTGTCTACAGTGTCTCTGGCGTCTGTACTGTCTGTAGTTTCTAGAGTGTCAGTAGTGTCTGTAGTGTCTGTAGTTTCCGTATTTTCTGTAGCGTCAGTAGTGTCGGTAGTGTCTGTAGTTTCTATAGTTTCTACAGTGTCAGTAGTTTCTGTAAGTGCTGTAGTGTCTGTAGTGTTTCTAGTTTCTATAGTTTCTATAGTGTCGGTAGCCAGTAGTTTCTGTAAGTTCTGTAGTGTCTGTAGTGTCCGTAGTGTCTGTAGTGTCTGTAGTGTCTGTAGTGTCTGTAGTGTCTGTAGTGTCTGTAGTGTCTGTAGTGTCTGTAGTGTCTGTAGTGTCTGTAGTTTCTGTAGAGTCAGTAGTGTCTCTAGTGCCTGTAGTTTCTGTAGTTTCGGTAGTGTTTGTAGTGTCTGTAGTGTCTGTAGTATTTGCACTGTCAGTAGTGTCTTAAGTCTCTGTATTGTCTCTACTTTCTGTAGTGTCTGCACTGTCTGTGGCGTCTGTAGTGTCTGTAGTGTCTATAGTGTCTGTAGTTTTTGTATTTTCTGTAGTATCAGTAGAAACTACAGTGTGGTGTCTGCAGTGTCTATAGTTTTTAGAGTGTCTGTAGTGTTTTTAGTGCCTATAGTGTCTGTAGTTTTAGCACCTTTTATAGTTTCTGTAGTGTTTTCTAGTCTCTGTAGTGTCTGTAGTGTCTTTAGTGTCTTTAGTGTCTGCAGTGTTGTAATGTCTGTGATGTCTGTAGTTTCTGTAGTGTCTGTAGTTTCTGTAGTGTCTGTAGTGTCTGTAGTTTCTGTAGTGCCTGTAGTGCCTGTAGTGTCTGTAGTTTCTGTAGTGTCTGTAGTGTCTGTAGTTTCTGTAGTGTCTGTAGTGTCTGTAGTGTCTGTAGTGTCTGTAGTGTCTGTAGTTTCTGTAGTGTCTGTAGTGTCTGTAGTGTCTGTAGTGTCTGTAGTGTCTGTAGTTTTTCTAGTGTCTGTAGTTTCTGTAGTGTCTGTAGTTTCTGTAGTGTCTGTAGTGTCTGTAGTGTCTGTAGTTTCTGTAGTTTCTGTAGTTTCTGTAGTGTCTGTAGTGTCTGTAGTTTCTGTAGTGTCTGTAGTTCCTGTAGTGCCTGTAGTGCCTGTAGTGTCTGTAGTGTCTGTAGTTTCTGTAGTGCCTGTAGTGCCTGTAGTGTCTTTAGTGTCTGTAGTTTCTGTATTTTCTGTAGTGTCTGAGGTGTCTATAGTTTCTCTAGTTTTTGCAGTTTCTGTAGTGTCTGTAGTTTCTGTAGTGTCTGTAGTGTCTGTAAAGTCTGTAGTTTCTGTATTGTCTGTAGTGTCTGTAGTGTCTGTAGTGTCTGTAGGTTCTGTAGTGTCTGTAGTTTCTGTAGTGTCTGGGGTGTCTATAGTTTCTCTAGTTTTTGTAGTTTCTGTAGTGTCGGTAGTGTCTCTAGTGTCTCTAGTGTCTGTAGCTTCTGTAAAGTCTGTAGTGTCTGTAGTGTCTGTAGTTTCTGTAGTGTCTGTATTGTCTGTAGTGTCTTTACTGTCTGTAGTGTCTGTAGTGTCTGAAGTGTTTGTAGTGTCTGTATTTTCTCAAGTTTCCGTAGTTTCTGTAGTGTCTGTAGTTTCTGTAGTCTGTAGTGTCTGTAGTTTCTGTAGTTTCTGTAGTCTGTAGTTTCTGTAGTTTCTTTAGTTTCTGTAGTGTCTGTAGTGTCTGTGGGTTTTGTAGCGTCTGTACGTAGTTTCTGTAGTTTCTGTAGTGTCTGTAGTTTTTGTAGTTTCTGCAGTGCCTGTAGTGTCTGTAATGTCTGCAGTTTCTCTAGTTTCTGTAGTGTCTGTATCTGTAGTTTCTGTAGTGCATGTAGTGTCTGTAGTTTCTGTAGTTTCTTAGCCTCTGTCGTGTCTGTAAGTTACTGTTGTTTCTGAAGTTTCTGTAACTTCTGTAGGTTTTGTAGTTTCTCTTCTTCCTGTATGACTTAAGTACTTTTTCTAGTGTGTGTAGTGTTTGTAGTGTCTGTAATTTTTTTTAGTGTTTGTCTGTTTGCAGGCTGTTTTCGTAGTGTCCTTTTTGATGTTTTTGTTCCATTTGGACTGTTGGTCGCTTTGTATTTAATCCTATAAGTTGTAAGCGACCATCCTTTACTATATTTTGCACCCGTTACTGCTTTTTCGCATATTCTGTATTTGTCAGGTTGCTTCTGTAAGTTGCGTAGTTTCTTAGCTCTTGGTTAGGATTTATTTTATAAGTTTTAGGTTGAGGTTGTGTTGTTTTTGATGTTCTCTTGGTTTGTGTTGTTTGTATTTTTGTACTTTTCCTGTGGTTTCTTTAATTGGTGCACATTATCTAGTGAAGTTTGTGTCCTTGTTGAAGTGTAATATCTTACCTTTAGGCCCTTGTATACCCGGAGTTCCAGGGGCACCCGGTTTTCCTGATGTCCCAGGGGTACCCGGCTTTCCTGAAGCCCCAGAAATACCCGGCTTTCCCGGAGGTCCTGGGGGACCCATCAAACCTTCTCTTCCATCACGGCCATCTCGCCCTGTAAATTTTGAAAAGAAGAAACAGAGAATTG